ACTATCTCCTTCCCATCTCGGCCCTTTTAGACTCCCTGCATTCCGCCATCCCTGCTGCTCTCCGCCATCCCCAGCTAATCTTTGCCATCTTCTTCCTCCTGGTCTGGCCCTTTGCAATGCAGCTGCTGGCTGAGTGTGCCTTGTCAGCAGGAAGGAAGAAGACAGCAAAGGCCAGCTGGGGGCAGTGGAGTGCATGGTGGCCAGAACAGCAGAAATGAGGGGGAGATAGGCAGGTGGAGGGAGTTGAAGCAGAGATGAGTGCAGCAGGACAGGAGAAGCATGAGGTTCTTGCCTAACAACAGCATGGTCCTGGCCTAGTGACTGCAACCTGAACTACTGAAACTTCCATCTCTAAGTGGTGCGATCACATGATGTTTCACCTAACAACCCCTTTGCTTACAGATGGACATTCTGGTCCCAATTAGGGTTGTTAAGTGAAGACTAGCTGTAACACTGTTTTGGATAAAGTGGCATGATTCTGCAGTTAATGGTAGCTTACTACATCTAGTGACCCATATTAAAGTTTAATTTTAAATGATTAAGTATTTGTCAGGTTTGGTAAATTTGTTTTGGCTTTGTTCCCAATACAAGCTTAACCTTGAATGTAGCTTGACATTTTTCATTCTTTCTGCATTTCCAAAAAGTATTGGGGATTTTGTAATCACTTCTCACTTGAAGGCTTGGCTTTGTAAATATCCTGACATAGCTTTGGAGTAACTGTAAAAGTTGTTGGGTAACCATGCGTGTTTGTACTTGTAATCGCCAAGTTTTATTCAGTGGTTTATGTAATGGCATGTATTTCATAGATGAATGAACATGCATAAAATAATTTAGATAGGATCTCACTTTTAGATAGGAAATACTTCTCTTTCTCTCTCTCTCTCTTTTATATTTTATCATAGGTCAAGATGGTACTTTACAGTCATTTTCTACAGTGCATGAAAGATTCAACAAAAGTTTAGGACGTGGTGAGTGTGACGATAAGAACAAAATGCAAATATCAGTGAAATTCGTTTGTTATTTGGAGATTCTAAGAATGTTAAGAATGTTGAATGTGTAATATTACTTAAATATCGATGGTCTGTTCAATACATTTTTCTGATTTCTGGCCATGTTTTGAATTTTTATGTTTTCAAAAATAATGTGTGTTTGTTGTAAATGCCTTGCTTATAGACTTTGGAGGGAAGCATGGTATAGCTATGAGGGATAGAATGTTTAACAGATCTAGGGAACAAGGAGGAGGAGGAACAAGCAGGAGGGAGTTGGACTTCTATAGAAAAGATTCCTTAGTCCAGGCAGGGGAGAAAACGTGAAAAAATTCACCTTAATTAGTTATGAGTTGAATTGCTCTGACAGACTTTGATTACATCACCTTACTAATAATAAAGATCTTTCCAGAAATCCAAATAGTTCTTGTTTTCTGGGTTTGCCAGCCTTGCAGATTTTGACTGTGTGAACCAGCAGAAATTATATGCCGAGAAGGATGATTGGTTAAAGATAGAACTTCCCAATTAAAAGTGTGTTTTCTTTGTATTTGAAACTATTCATCTTTATCTGTATAATCTGTTCTGATAGAAAATACATAGAATTGGATGTTTGTCTAGCAGGAGCTTGCAATTTCCATTGATTTGAGGACCACACTAGATTTTTTGCACTATTTTGAGTGTGCACTACAAAAGTAGGCAGGGCCATGGCCAGGTGGGTTTTGTTTATTTCTTAAGAGGAATCAGGTATTTTTAGGTTTGATGTAGTTATGTTAAGCCTTTGCAATACCTATAGCATCCAATTTCCCATTAAATCTCCATAAAACTCCAAAAATGCAAACAAACCCCAAAATTATGGCTCTACCCTAAAGGGGCTTTGGGGGTTATGGGTGGGAAGCTAGAAGGTTACCAATGGCACGAGGCCACACTTTTTATACTTCTATTGAACAGATAAGGATGAAAAGTCTTCCCTAGATATGAATATTCAAACTATCCATTGTATTGCATACCTAGCTGTTTTGTTTATCATGTTTCAAGGTTCAATAAATAAGAAGAAATCAAAAAAGAAAGGACTTCGGCATGACACAATGGCACTTCCCCCTATTACAATGTTTGCAACAGGTATGTAACTGCTGCTTAATTTGAATAAATAAGATTATAATCCATCAGATCAAATACTATTTTTTCTTAATTTATAAATATTCTGCACTGATAACATTGATGACATGTTGCTTTATCTAGATGAGCTGAGGTTATTTGTTTATGTTCCTCCCTACCAACAATGTAGAGAATTGAATCTCTTTCGCTTCTCATTCTTGAATAAGATTTATCACTCCTGTTGACCCAAGCTGTTGTGTTCTCATAGTGTTGGAAAGCATTTTGTAGATCATTTAGTCCAGGCCTGCACAATGTACAGCCTGTGAGCCACATGCAGCCCACTGAGCTGCCTTGTGCAGCCCACCTGTGTTGTTTAAAAAAGTAATAAATTCACCACCACACCAAAAGGCATACTGATGAGTGCCTCCAAGCCTCTGGCGCTGCAACTGCTCCACTAGCCACCAACACCTGAGAGGTAGGCCATGTATTTCTTTGCAGCTCGCAATGATTTTTGATATATCAATGTGTCTTTTCCCCTGTACAAGATGTGCAGGCATGAACCCAGTATTACAGCATTTCTGATAGATGGCTGTCCAGCCTCTGTTTAAACACTTTTAGCAAGGGAAACTCCACCACTTCCAAGGCAATCTGTTCCTTTGGGGGAAAACTTGACCATTAAGAATTTTTTCCCTGATATCTGACCTAAATCTATTTTCAACCATTCCTTGCAAGTTTTGCTTTCCTTATCATCCTGGTCTGAATAAGCTATAGTTTGTCAAATGTTTTTCCTAAAATGTAGTGCCCAGAACTGGACACAGTATTCTAGGTGTGGTCTAAGCATCCAGAATAGAGAACTGCAGTTTCTTCTGATTTGGCACTATATTTCTGTTGATGCATTTAGGTTTTCTGCAACTGCATACAAGTAGTCCTCGCTTAACGACCATTCAGCAACTGTTTGAATTTGTTGGACCTACAACCTGCGCCCAAAGTTATGGCCGTTGCAGCACCCCCGCTGTTATGTGATCACGATCTGGACCCTTGGCAATCGGTTCGCACTTAAGACCAGTTGCCAAGTGCCCTGCGATCATGTGATTGCCATTTGCAATCTTCCTCACTGGCTTCCCCAGAAAGCCAATGGGGAAGCCAGCAGGGAAGGTCGCAAGCTGCTGCTGCCTACCAAGAGGACTCACTCTTGTCTCTGGCTCTGGCTGAAAAAGCTCCATGCCAAAATCTCTGGGGGCTGGCTGAAAACACCCTGTGCCAAAATCCAAGCTGGATTTTCAGCCATGGAGGATTTTCAGCTCCAAAGTAGACAGGCTTTAAAAGCTTCTCAACTCTGCTGCTGAAAATCCAAGTAGTTCTGAAGCCCTCACACACCCGACCCGCACTGCACCCCTGCACACCCTCTCCAACTGTCCCTTATCCAGAATTTTCACTCATACAATTTTGAAGTTGGAAAGAATCAGTCATAAGCCATAGCAAAGATATGTCAGGCCTTAATCCTGACCAAAGCATATATTTGAGATTCCCTCAAGAACTAATGTCAATCTGAAGAAAAACAATTTTTCTGCTGGTTTTTAGTGATGTCAACCTCCAAAGAGGAAAGCAATAAGAAAACACTTAGCTGGCTTACTTGAGCTGTTTAGGACATTCGTCATTGGTGTGTGAGAGAATTATTATACAGTAAATGTTATTTTCACTGTAAAAATAAATGCTTTGGAATGGTCTTCACAGTCCTCAGACTTGAGTATTACTGAAAATCTGTGGATAGTTCTCAAACAGGCAATGCATGCAAGGAAAATTTAGAGTATTTCTGAGCTTGAGGAGTTTTGCAAGGAAGAGGAAAAAATTCCAAAATAAAGAACAGAAAGATTCTTGACTAGCTACTAGAAATGTTTGAAGCTGTTATTTCTGCCAAAGGAAGTTTTACAAAGTACTGACTGAGAGCATATCTGAACTTCTGCATCTACTATATTCTCTGTTTTCTTATTTTGAATGTATAAACAATTGCAAACAAATATTAAAATGTACAGAAACATTTTTAACTTTGTATCATGTAGAGGTCATGTCAGTTTCTGTTTACTTATGGATTCATTAAAACATAAAATTTGACCAAGGGTGCCTAAACTTTAGCATGCAACTGTAGTAGGTGAGAATTGTACGTCTGCTGCTGGATCAGACAGCACTGTGTATATTCTAAACTTGTATTTGTGCCTCAGGTCTCAGTATACTGTCATAAAATTGTGCTTAAAAATATAAAAACATAGTATAAATAAATGTACTATAAGAGTTTCAAGTGCATCATTTTGAACGTGATATAATCCAATTAGTTTGGCATTTTTATTACATTGTAATTTAGAAAAAATGTTACACTTATTCTGTTTTTTTAAAAAAACTTATCAATTAAAGAATTTTACATGTAATGAGTTTTGATTGCATTGCAGAGGTGGCCCGTCAAAATGACTGGGATGGTATCATTGCTTGCCATCAAGGTTATGTAACTTGTACTACTTGGAATTATCAGAAAACTTCAATGGGAATTCATAAACTGAAACCAGAAGACTTCAGCAAAAATAAATCTCTTGGTATATATGCAACAGTAAGTTTCTTAAATGACTGGAGGTAATTCTTAAAATCATATAAAACTGAAATCCATTCAAATACAGCTTTCCAGCTTACTTTGTATTTAGATTACACAGCATGTATTGTGACCTTGATTTTTTCAAAGCTCGTTTATATGAACATCTAAAAAATTATTTAAAGGTAAATCATTTTTGAATGAATAGCAACTTTCAAAATATTTAGGATTTTGACAGTATAAATCTGACTTTGCTATATTTCAAAGCTACTCCTTGACATAAATAATTTGGGTTTTTTTAAATCTTTTTCTTGAAAGGCAGTAGATATTACTTCTTGTGGAAACTTTGCTATCATTGGACTTTCAACAGGGCATGTGGATAAATACAACATGCAGTCTGGTATTCATAGAGGACGTTATGGCGAAGAAAAAGGTAAAAATCTGACCTTCTTTAAAAAAGAAGTGTTCTAATAAAAGTTTCAATAGCTGAATTTGTAACTTGTGGAGCTGAAACACCCATTGTTTCATTTTCATAAAAAATTCCTGTAACTATCTGCTTAGGACTAATGTAAATAAAACTAGGTTTAAGGTTGCTAATACAACTTATGTAATAAATGCTGGGTGACTAGCAATACATGATTTTTAGCTTTGTTCTGGTATGTCTTGTCCTTGGAAGATTTCATAGTGTTTAGCTTCAGAGCCATTTCCATAATTTGGTTCACTTTAGAAGCAGTAGTCTACAGAAATACAGTTAAAGCTTTTGTTCCAGAAGGCTCATAAAAAACAAAGAAAGGCTGACGATTGATTCACTATTTTTTGTGTGTGTATGTATAATTAAAGCTCATGAAGGCTCCATAAGAGGCATAGCAGTGGATGGATTAAACCAGTTTACAATCACAATAGGAAGTGAAGGATTGATCAAGTTCTGGAAATTCAAGACCACAACATTTGTTCATTCTATTGATCTTTCTACGTCTCCAAGTAAAATGTTGCTTCACAGAGATAGGTGAGATGGTTTGGTGTATTCAGTTAAGGCTACAAACAAAATTAAAACTGTTAGATACATTTTTAATAATTGGCTGTTATTCGTATTTATTTCATACTGATTTCGTGAATGTCTGTGTTGCTTTTTGACCAAGCAGTGGCGCTCAGGGTGATAGAATGTATTCCTCATGGGTACTACAAGTAGCATTTCCATTATTTATGTTTGTACTCTTATTTATTTATTTATACTCTTTTTAGGTACATGCCTGCACACACTCACGCATGCATACAAACATATTTTTGTCATATATGTCACTCCCTTTTCTAATCAGTCCACATTCATTGCTACCCATTCATTTTTTATCCTATCTCTCTGTTTCACTCTACAGACCTTTTAAGCACTCCACTCCCATCACATTCAACATAATTTTATGCTGCTTCTAACAAAGTACACTTGCCTGCATATGACAAAGTGTGCAGAAACATGCTCTTTTCTGTAGCTATTTTCACTTCTTTTGATAAACATTCATTCCTTGCAATAGACCACATACTGCTTGCAACCTTCCTACCAGCATTTGCACATCTTTTTCCACTTCAGTAAATTCTCTGCCAAGGTACACAAATCAATATACTTGCTCCGGTTTTTCTGCCATTCATGTATAACTTGCAATTGATCATATCATTATACATTATGCACTATTTTAGTCTTTTATACATTAATTTTCAGACTCATTCTCCTTATTACATCACATTTTCTAGCATTTGGTGTACATTATTCAGATTCTTATCAGCAGCAGCATCTGGATGCAAACGTACATGTATATTCACAGCCCCAGCCCAACATACTTTAATCTCACCTTATGTATGAATCCATAAATACATTAAATAATCTTCTTTTGGAACATTAATAATAATAAATAATTCTATTGGAACATTAAATATTCATTTCAAACATTCCTGTCTTACTCCCTCTCAGTGCTGAGTCACTTGCTAAGTATTCCATTTATTCTCATGCATGTTTTATTTACATTATACTGCTCTTACTGCATTCAGCAACCAACTTTCAATTTGCATTTATGCAAAAATTCCAAAATTCAGTTCTGTTCACTTTATCATAAGACTTCTCTAAATAAACGTATTTGTGGTTTTCTCTTAGAAAAGTGGAAATATACTTGAGGCAGCAGCAATGAGCAAACATGCAAGTTTTTTTGTTTGTTTGTTTTTTTACTGTTTTTAAATGTTTGTTTATATTATTAAATTCTACCAGTGGCATTCTGGGAATAGCTATGGATGATTTTGGCATCAGCGTTCTGGATATAGAGACAAGAAAAATTGTGAGAAAGTATTCAGGACACCAAGGACAGATAAATGACATGGTAAGTCCTTAACTATAAATTATAAAGGGTATGAAGAGTGATGTACAGGTAGTCCTTGACCATTCATTCAGTGACTCTTGAAAATTACAACTGGTCTGAACTGTGAGAGGAAAATTTTAGTAGCCTTCTATATTTAATTTGGTTGG